GATTTAGTGATCTGGGGCAAAGGATCTGTTCCATTTTCCTGGGAGTGACCTGGAGCCTGTCCGGCTTGTCCCTGTCACCGGGGCTTCCGCAGAAGCATCTAGGTACACTCCAGCAAAGGCACAGGTGGTACGGTATTTACTGGCCACAGTTTTTTAGAAGGCGAGTCTCTCTGGAAAGTCCTTCAGCAGCCTTATGCCGTACACCACACTCTAGTTTCTTCTGTAGACTGTAGAACATTTCCTAGACCTGCCCTTGGGTACTCCTCAGTTCCTAAGTTACCCCCCATTCGTTTCCTCTGCATATAAAATCTGTTCCTTTACATTTGGCAGGAAACCAATGTGGTCAATCTGAAGGAAAAAAAGATTCACAGATCTGTGATTTGGTTTCAGATACAAGTAAGTATTGTTTCTTCAAACATCTTTCACATTCATATGTACCGAAAACGTAACCACTTTGATATTAAGTGTTAGGAGTTTAAGACTTTGGGTTCAGTACGCTCGGACGGGAATCCTAGGCCTCCTGCTAATTAGCTGTGTACCCTTGCTGATGATGTCACTTCCCTTAGGCTCAGTTTCTCTGAACTAAGGGAGAGGTGAACAGAACACAGGTAGCGTACCCTCCTCCCCTAACCCCATGGCTACCTCTGGGACGCGGTGGCGGGCCAGAGACTGTGTTCCATAAATCTGCATTCTTGCCCTTACCACAACCACACTTCCGCCAACTGACCCCGGATATGCTGAGTTACTAAAAGTAATAGTAATTACAGTAATTTATGGAAACTGCTTATCATTTAAGCCTTAATTACCATGCAGCACAATAACAATTATGCAGGCCATTAAATGTGTCAGATTCATGTTGCTACATATTTTATTTGATTTTTAACACTAACATCTATTCACATAGGCTCAGTTTGTGGCTCACACAGCATGTGCCTCCTTACAAATAAAAAAATATTAGAACGGACAGTGTCTAGGAGGGAAAATCAGGCACCCAAGGGAGAAATTAAAGAAGTAATTTGTCTCAAAGAATTTCAAATATAGTCCCTTCTCCCTCCCTCCTCCCAGGACTAACCACTTGCAGGATGGGAGAGGACTATTTCCTGTTTCCAGCTTTCTTTGGAGCGTCTTACTGGTGCGGTTTCCTTCTGCACCAGGGCATAAGTAGACTGCTGCCAGCGACCAGATCAGTTTCTCTTGGTCAGGTGCCCGCCCCCTGGTGCAGTAAACCACAGCTGGGGAACAGAGGGGCCGGCTCACGTGATAAAGATTGCACCTACTTGTGTTAGTTTGGGCTCTTTGACCAACAGAGATGGGGCTAGAAGTGCTTAGTCAGACGAGTGCTTTAACTCTGCCTTCAGAACTGGAGGAGAAAACTTACGACAGCCAAGACAGGAGTCCTCACAGATGCCCCTGACGTGCAACGCTATTTCCTAGGAATAAAAGCCAAAATTGGGCATAGTTTGGCTGCTGAGTGGTAGTAAACCTAACGCAAGTCAGTATCCTGTCGACTGCCACTAATTTGAGACTTTATAATTAGAGAGTGTAAGTCTGCAGTGAAAGTGACGAGGTAAATAAACAACTGGAGGTTTATCCACTATGAAAAGTAGGGAAGGTGCCGATAAAAACTCATATAAACAATCCATGAAGAAGGCAGCATTTGCAATGGGGAGCACAGTCTCTGCTGAAGTGCTTGCATTGAGCCCAGACACCAGAACTACCCTCTCGTAAAAATCTCCTTTTAGCTTGAGCCAGCAGCTTCAGGGAGCAAGCCTCAGGAGTGAGAGGAGGAAGAGGACACGCAACCAGGTAAGACATTTCCATCTAGTCTGTCCATGCTCACACGCTGGCTAAGGGGACTACATGACTTCCCATTTTTATTTTATTATTTTATTTATGAGAGAGAGAGAGGGAGGGAGGAAGGGAGGGAAGGAATCTTAAGCAGGCTCCATGCTCACTCAGTGTGGAGCCCGACATGAGGCTCGATCCCACAACCTGGGATCATGACCTGAGCCAAAATCAAAAGTCAACCAACTGAGCCACCCAGGCGCCAGCAAGTTCCAATTTTTAAATAAATGCTGAGATGCTAGGGATATCTGGCCCTTTCAGGTGGATTTCTGCATACTGCTATTCCTTTTAAAATCCAGTATAGTGCTGCCTTCTTATTCTCCCCTCCCTCCCCACTCTCAGTAAATGATCTTGCTTCCTTAGCCATAGTTAAAGACAAGAACTTGACAGAAGCCTCTGCAGGCTTCTGCTGTTGTCATTAACACCATAATCCCCAAACACCTCCTTTCCCCTCTTTCTCACGGAAAAGGAAGTGCCTCTCTACTCCCTCTGTGCTCCTTATGGTTTTCCTTGAGCAATTAGCCCCTGTCTCCTATCTGTTCAATAACTCTTCAATCCATTTGATTCCTTCTCCCAAGCATTTAATCATGTTTAGTTTCTTGTCCCCTAAAGGGGTTTAAAAAAAAAAAAAAAAAGCTAAAACCTCACGTATCTTATATCTCTCTGGATCTATCCCATTTCTCTTTCCCTTTAGAGGCTAGCTTCTTGCAACAACTTTCACTGTCAAATCTTCATTTCCTCACCAAACAGTACTCTTCAATTCACTGCAATCCTGCCTTTTTCTGGGGCAAATCTTATCAGATCCTTCATCCTTACCTTTGGATTGAGCATTCCTTCCTGCAGAAAGTGCTCCTCCCTCAATTACCAGAGTACCCCTTTCTGGTTTCTTTTCACTTCTGTGATTCCTCTTCCTCCTCGGTCCTTCACACATGCTCCTTCTTCTGTCCTCCCCTTAAATGTTGCTACTCCTCAGGGTTCCATTTCCAATCCTATGCTGAGTCATCTCATCTGTTTCGATAACTTCAGCTATGTCCTTATGTGTTCAAGACCCCACCCGTACCTCCCTCTTGAATCCTGGAGCCATGCAAACTCCCTACTGGAAACTCCTCTGTGGCCCATGGGCACCTCAAATTCAATATGCCAAGAAAGAGAACCCAGTACCTTTACCACAAGGCTGCTCTTCTACTGAGCTCCCAGCTCAGTTAATGGCTAACCCATTTAGCAGTGCAAGTCGGATTCCCGGCCATCACTCACAGCTCCCTTCCCCCCCCCACCGTTACTAAGATACCGAGTCCTCCTATTCCACCTACAGAATATCTCAAGAGTCCTGCTTCTCTCTTGCTTTAGTGCTACTGACGCAATTTATTTAGGTGATTTGTTCATTCAGGAATCAACTTGTCTATCCTCAACTCTTGCCTGGATTACCGAATAGTCTCCTGGATTCTGTTTCGACTCCCTCTAATTTATTCTCCAGTTTGCATGAGTGATTTAAAACAAAACAAAACAAAACAAAAAACCTCCCGGGGGCACATGGGTGGCTCAGTCAGTTAAAAGTCAAACTCCTGATTTTGTCTCAGGTCATGATCCCATGTTTCATGAGTTCAGGCCCTGCATCAGGCTCTGTGCTTTCTCTCTCTCAAAATAAATAATAAACTTAAAAAAAATAAAAACTGAAAAGATTTAAAAACAACCTCCTGATTCAAACCCTTCATTGACTTCAGAGTTTTCAGGATAATGTCAAAATTTCCCTAGCGCATCACAGGGCTTTCATGAGCTTAGCGGCTGCCGGCTTCTCATGGCTCCAGCCCTCAGCACCCTCACTCCCATCCACTCCTGTTCAGCCATAGTCTCCTACTGGTTTCGACCCATGTCCCCCTTTTCCAAGTCCTGTCTCCTTCTCCCTCCAGGATAAGTTTCTACGGAACTTCAAGAGCCACCATAGGCATCCACATCTCTAGATCTTGCATCCAGGACCTCTCTGTTGAACCCCATCAGAACCCTTACCATATCATAAAACACAACTGTCTATTACTCTATTGTCCCCTTTCCCTACTTGGTTGTCAGCTCTTTGAAGGCAAGGGCCCAGTCTTAGTAAACTTTAAACCACTGGTTTATATGACATGGCTTGTATTATACAAAGACTGTCATAGAGAAGACGTGGATAAGTACTGAATGAGCTAATAGGCTAAATGGTATCCTGCTGAGTGCAGGTAAAATAAAAACAAGAAATATTAGTACTTTATGCTTCATAACACAACCATCACCTCTCATTAATTTTCATAACAATCCCAACAGGTAAGTTGTACCACCAGGCATATTTTAAGTGTAAAGAAACAAAGAACAGAGAAGTTAAGGGACTTGCCCAAGTCAGGACTAAAATCTAGGCCTGCTATATGGTAAGACTGAGAATCTTCTACCAGACAACTACATCTCTAATGAAATATTTAGCAGTAAGTGAGATAATTAATTCTGCAATAAATAAAGGATTTCAGATCATCCTCTATGCAATTTAATCTTTGTACATAAAACATAAGTTTAAAAGAAAAGGTCTAATTTGAATTAACACCTGTGTTACTTAAAATTTTCATACATGAAGAAACATCTCCATTTTTAACCACCATATTTAACATCTCAGAAATGATAAAAATTTAAAATCTATGGTAGTTACAAGGTTTATATGTTTATTAATACGATGAATAGCTGAGAATGGAGCCAGAAAGCTTATAGGTCCTTGGGGAGTTTCACAGCTGCCCACCCACAGAAATGCCTAGTCATAGCCATTTTCTGGGTCTTTAAATGCCACAAATAGAGCAACAATATTACCAATTACATTTAACCTGATCTAGCGTCATAATCTAGTTTCCTTGACATGCTGACAAACACCGAACAAAATTCAGAACTAATTCCTGGAAGGGCAAAATTTTTCTTTCAGAGATGCACTCCCAAGCTTTAGGGTCACATAGTGCTGCATTTCTATAGGAATTCTCATAGTCAGTCATACTACACTCTAGAGTCAAAAACAAAACCTTCTCTTTCCAAATAACAAAGTATTACTGGTTCAACACAGGATTATTTAAAATATTCAAACAATGGTTTTAAGTTCATTTTTGAGACACATATCAGTAATTTAAACAAGAACAGAAAAGAATACTTACAATACATCCCTGAAGTCTCCAAACACATACATATGCCTAAAGCTGTCAATAGCTATGACAGGGCAATCGGCTGGAGTTTTCTGTATGTGCAGAAGAGGATGTCTAAATTTGTCACAGTCAGCATGTAAAAAGTTTATTGTACCTTTGTAAGAAATAGAATTTGAGGTAGATTAGAATTTTCTTGACCATATTCTCGTAAGATTGTAAGTTCATGAAAAGTGACATATAAATGAATGAATGAATAAATAAAATTGAAATGAAATGAAAAATCAACATGCTTTAGAGTATTACAGATCACCAAAACTACAATCTAAATATTACAACATTTAAAAAAGGTATAATGTTAGTGCTTAGGGCAGAATATAATTTCCTTAGAAATTAAATGAACTCAACCTGAATATAAATGCTATGGTGAATTTTTTATTTTCCTTGAATGGGCAATCACCTACCCATCTGGGTTTTCGGCAAGTTCATGAAATTGACCTGTAAGCTGTTCTCGAGGGGGCGGTCTTCATTTCATCAAGGATGCCCTTCCAGTCCCTACTGGTTGACATTTAATGTAATTCAACCCCAAAATATTTACTATGTGACTAGTAAGGGCATGGCTCTATACAATGCCCTCACTTTATTTTGTTCTGACTTCCTTCTGTAACCACAGAGGGAAAATAGGTGATAACTTCATAGTCTTTTCTGATGGTTTGGAGAAGTCTACAGAGAACTACTCAACTCTCTTTCATTTAGAAATAAGTGTTAGACCATGTAAGTTGTCTCAGTGATATCTCTGGGACTACTCATTAGCAAGGGACCAGACAAGTACCCTAAGAAAGTACCTAAAACTAATGTTGTCCACCCAAGACCCCACTTTTCATGCTATTTTAGGGAGCTAAGAGTCATGGTTTAAAAAAAATTTTTTTTTAAAGCCACTGCTTCATATTAGCTCTAATAATGCCTCCCACCCCCGTGTTTACATGTAAATTTAGGGGCTAAGCAGAGTTAACATTACTTATTAAAATTTTAACCCAAATATGTTTACACTGGTATGAATGTGATGGGGGAGGGGAGGGATAGAAGAAAGGCTGAAAATAAACACCTTAATCTGTCTACCTTTTTCACTTATTAATTGTCGGGCTACTTCATTCTGGAATATTTCTAAACTTTCCGTATCTTCTTTCATGTGGAAGAGTATGAGAAAAGGCAGTCCTTCTTCTGTCAATTCCTGTGTACAGAAGTATTCAATAAGAATGATCAGGCCTCTCCATTGTTCTAGGTAGGAACAATTTGAACCCAGCCCAAGTAGCATGTGTAACAGTTGCAACATCCCAGGAAAAGAAGGTCCAGTGGTGTAAAGAAACATTAGCCTTGATGGAGGAAGGAAGCTTCTCCGCCTTCTACCTGAAGTTCACAGCCACATGTCCTGCTCTAGTGGGGGAACTCATCTGCCTTAAAGTAACACTGGGCTGGTCTATCAGTTCCTTTTGGCTGACACAATGACATTTTAAAAATAAGCTGACCAAAGGGGGAACTATACTGGTTCTTTATCAAGACATGGACTTTAGGGTGGGGTAAACACGATTAGTATTTTCAATCTTCAAAAATGACTGAAAAATTGAGCCAGTGTACCCACAACAAATAAATCTAATTGGAAACATATGTTTATTTTAAGGTCTGTTGCAAAATCCACTCCACGCACATGAGAACTACTCTAAGCTGAAAAGTGTTTTATTCAGAGCAAAAGACAAAAGCCCCCGCGAGACAGGCAGTTTTCAACTAATACACAGTGTATCAACATTATTAACAAACTCCGACTGCTACGTATGTATAGATTTATATGCCTTGTACACATACATACATAGGCAAAAACGTCTTGAAAATTACTGAGTGCTTTAAGAACTTGTATTATTATTATTGAGAATAATAAAGAGAAATGTGATGAGCAGACAACAGATTTTCATCATTTATTCTCTCTGACAAATGCTAAGTTTGGACTCATAAGAAAAAGTCCAGAAAGGGCCTCATAATAAAATTATTATAATAAAATTATTTCCATCAACTATCCTTTTGCGTGTCTCTCTGTAATTTAGAAACTGCAGCAGCAGAAAACATAAGCATCCTTTATGCTAAAATCACTGAAACTGGAACCTATCTTCCTGGACAAGAGCTTACTTGTGGTTTCTATCTCCATGTTTAAGCCTGTTCCACTCATACACACAATAATTAAGCTTGTCACATTTACCTTTTTATTAAAAAAATTTTTTTTTTTAATGTTTGCTTATTTTTGAGACAGAGACAGAGCATGAGCGGGGGAGGGACAGAGAGAGAGGGAGACACAGAATCCGAAGCAGGCTCCAGGGTCTGGGCTGTCAGCACAGAGCCCGACGTGGGGCTCAGCTCAAACTCAAAGACTGCAAGATTATGACCTGAGCCAAAGTCACTCAACCAACTTAGCCACCTAGGTGCCCCATGTTTACCTTTTTAAAACTGAGATGTAAAACTTCAGTGTTTTAAAGTGTACAAGTTGGTAGGTTTTATTTTATTACAAGGTTTTCACACATCGGAACTGCCTGATTCCAGGACGTCTGCATCGCTCCAAGAGGAAACTTCCCCACGCTCAAGCACTAGCAGTCCCTGTCCGCTTCTCTTAACCCCCAACCCTGGGCCCAGGTATTGCAGCGATCTTTCAAGCAGGCTTATTTACAGTTTCTTCTTCCTCACTTTTTAGTCCTTTAGCTCTTTTTCTTTCCTTCCCCATCCCAATCTTTTCTTCTCCTGCTCTCACAGTTCCATCTTTGGACTTCTCTGCTCTAGCCTGGCAACTTCAGCTAGTTCAACAGTCTCAAGCACCTCTATTTGGTCCCTTTTATCCCCAAGCCCAGTTCCAGGCCTGCATCCAAGTCTGGATTCCCACCTACCTCCTTAGTGTCTCCACTGCAAAGTCTAACCAATGCCTTCAACACTCAACATTAACGCACAGGCCCCTCTTCCCACTTCCCCAGTTTTGTGGGCACTTCTAGTTCTCTTTTAGCCCTTTTGTTACAGGACCAAAATGCCACTTCTAGAAAGTCATCCTGGATTCCTAAGCCACTTCCGCCAAAGGTAGAAATGAATTCTCTCCTCTGAATTCCCAGAACATTTCCCAGTGGCCCTCATATGGCCTGGGGGATGTCTTTAATGTTACATTATCTGTACATGCTAACTCCTGGCTGAAAACCCCTAAAAAACAGAGAATCTCATTTTGTTTCTCTTTTGCTCGCGGATTACTGTACACAGGAATGTGCGATCAGCCTATGACTGCATAAAGAAGACACATGTTGTTGAATACTAATTGGGAAATAACCTTTTAGAAAAGTTAAGAGCGAGGAGACTAAAGGTAAAAACAAATACAGAATGTGGCTTTATAACACTAAGCAAGAGTGTGGATGTGCTACTGACCACAAGAAGAGAAGTGATGAATAGATTAGCAGTGTGAGTACATCCATGTCACTTAGTTTGCTACGCCAATTTACATACATGAACACAGTAGCTGGTAGTTTAGGCTGCCTGGGCTTCCCTGTTCACCTGTGTCCCCACCAACATATTCTTTATCAAATAGGTATCAAAAGGTTTAGGAGAGGGATATCAAGACAACCAGCTTTAGAGGTTAACAAATCTTTCCCCATAGTTTAAATTATTTGGGGTGGCTGGTTACAACATGTAATAAAAATCTAGACATTTAAATATGCCTACTACTATGGAGGTGGGGAGAGGAGCCCCTATTTATTGTTTAAGATTTTCCAGGTCTACACCTTTCGACTTTTGTTTTTGAAACAATTCCTACGCGAACTACGAAAGCAGGTGAATAATCGTGATGAATTACTCTTTCTAAGCCTCTGAGGACTAAATAAGCTAATGCAATAAAAAATTGTATTCAGCTAAACAAAGCCAAAGGAGAACTGAGCAATGTAGCAGAGATGCTCATTTGATAAACTAGGAAAGAGCGCGAGCGTAACCTCCCTGGTGTAGGTATTGTCCAAGGCTGCTTCTGTGTCACGACCACAGAGCTGAAGACTTGGGACAAGACAGTGTACAAAGTGCAAGGCCTAAAATATTTATCAGCTGAGCCTTTACAGAACTGTCAACCTCTAAGTGGTGGTTATATGGGTGTGTTCACTCTGTGATAATTTTTTGAGCTGTATATTTAAAATCTGACCTACACACTTCTAATTCTTTAATGTGCAATGCACAGCTCTCTATGTACGTCACACACCTGGGCCTTTGTATTTGCTCTTCCAATCTTAGGCTTTTGTGTTTTCTTTCTGTGAGAGTTCTAAGACTTTGGATGGACTTATATCAGGGGCATGGGATCACTGAGGTCAGTTACATGATAACTCATAACTGCTTTCAGGATTATGATGAAAGAGAACACAATTTCATTCTTTTAGGATAGACAGGAATCAGAAAAGCCTTTTTATGGCAAAGGAGTATTCACTTACATAATTAATTGGAACTAAAATCTGCAGAGCGCTGCTTCTAAAGGGCATCCCCTTAACCAAGGGGGAGTATCAGAATCACCTGAGAGGCATGGTCAAACTCACTTCAAGGCTGTAGTCAACCACTGCTACTTCAGGAAGTGCAACAGACGGGTTCTGGGACAATAAAGGCAAAGAACCACTGGCCTCTTTACGGAAATGGTTATGATATAGTGCTGTTCACTGTATGATCTTTACAACTGGGAAGTCTGCAGTAAAATAGTAAGACAGCTGGGGGAAGCTTACTCTTTCAGAAATCTGAGTTCAAGATAACACACATTAGAAAGCCATACCTCTCCATTTTCAAATGTTATTTCTCGAACAAGAGGAACGCATTTATCTTGAATCCAATTGTAAGTCCCATCAAAATTTGTCATAGATCCCAAGTATACCATATCTGGAGCAGAATGCTGTTAACGAAAGCAGGGGGAGGAAATTAAACAAATCTAACCTGTGTTAGTAAAAATGCATTCTCAAAGCCATCTGTGACCCAGAAAATCTACAAGGTACGCAAAAAAGAAAAACAACCCCCCCACCTGCCCAAAACCAAAAACCATGAAACTTCCAAGAAAGAGAGCTGTAGATGGTAAAAAGCTGGTAAGTTTGTATTTATCTGAGACCTAACTATCCAACCTGTGATGTCTAAGCCTTCTGCTTTTCCTTGGACTTGAGTCAATTAACTGTTTATCTTTACCAATGGCAGGCAGGCATTGTGAAAAAGAATCATCCAAATGAATTAATTTAGCTATCCCTTAGAGTTGAAAATGGTAGAAGAAAATGTGGAAACTCTCAGGAAAAAGGCCTTGAGCAATACAAGACACGATATAAATCTAATGCCTAGCTACCTCTAGTATTACCCACAGGATTTCTTTCCATGCCCACTCAAAATCAGCATTTATGAAGTGCTTAAAATGATGACAAAAATAATAGCTACCATTAACTGAGTAAACTTATGGTGTCAAAGCACTGTTTGTTGTACGCACCTTATGTGTTGACTCATTCAATCCTTGAAACATCCCCAAAAGGCAAGGACTATTACTGTCATGGCTATTTTTATTAATGAACAAACTGAAGGTCAGAGAAGCTAAGAAACTTTCCCAGAGTTATACCTTGGGAAAGTGGCAGATTTGACACTAAAACTGAATCCCCTTCCAGAGTCCGTGCGCTTAACAACTAAACTACAGTGGGAGACACTGCACTGGATTCTGATAACCTAGAGATGGTCACACTATGTAACCTACTATTAATGAAATAACAGGCAAATACTTCTCTGAATTCAGAACAGGAAATGAGCTTTCTAAGCAAAAAACTTACTCATATGACTACATAAAACTTAAAAACTTCAGCGTATCAAGATACTACAAACAATATTAAGATGAAAGCTATGCATCGAAAAAATACCTACGATTGTCTATTTGTGTGTGTGTGAAAACTGCAGTGACAGACCAGTAAGTCAAAGAGATGACAAGCACTGAGATTTCTGCCTCCCGGTTGTGGTTCAGGAGCTACTTCTGAGGTTAGACATACTTAACTTCTTAGCCAAGGGCTAAAAGCTACCTACCGGCTCCTTATTATCTGGCAAATATCAGATTAATTTACACCCCAGAAGACCTGGGAGCTTGGCTGGTCTAACTCAGGTAGGAGTGGTGATCACAGACCACTGAAACAGTTTTTTGAATTTGGGTCTTAAAACGAATGCAAAAGGGAGAGGTAGATATGGCCTGGGGATAGGAGATCTCTAGTCTCAGCTCAGCTACTAAATCCCTAGCTGACTTTCAGCCTACAAATCCCCATCTTTACGTTGACAGGTTTGGATTAATAGAAGATGATGCCTCAAGGTTCCTTTTGTACTCAAAGTGTGTGATTCTGTGAATTAAAAATATATATATCTAACTCTATATATCTATAGATCATACTATACATTTAAATTACACTTAAAATTATACACACTAAAAAACAGCAACTTACCCCTGGTGGTTTGTAGATTATGTTGTCTCCACTGTATCTTTCTGGTTTTGAAACAGCTCTAATAGGAAAAGAGAAGTAGCAGTAGTTAAGAAAACACTGATTCATCTCCAGTTTCTAGCTAGAGTAGTACAGGAGAGAGGCGCGAGGGACGCTAGCCAAGACTGATGTCAGTGGAACAAAAAGGAAGAACATGCTTCATTCATTCATTCATTCACTATCCACTATGTGCTTCCTTTGTACCAGGGATGGTCTTGGCACTGGGTACACAGCAGTGAACAAAACTGACAGTGCCTGTCTTCTGGTAAAGCTTACATTTTGGTGGAAAGACAAGCAAAGAGATACATTTATTTTGGGTGAGTAACTCCCCCCCACCCCAAAAAAAGTGCTCTGAAGAAAACTAGGTGAATGAAGACTAACAAGCTGGATGATGGCAGTGTTATTGTACTTATTTTTTAAATTCTTATTTATTTTGAGAGAGAGAGAGAGAGGAAGGAAGGAAAGGAAGGAAGGGAAGGAAGGGAAGGAAGGGAAGGAAGGGAAGGAAGGGAAGGAAGGGAAGGAAGGGAAGGAAGGGAAGGAAGGAAAAGAAGGAAAGGAAGGGAAGGAAGGAAGGAAAAGAAGGAAAGGAAGGAAAGGAAGGAAAGGAAGGAAGGAAGGAAGGAAAGAATCCCAAGTAGGCTCTGCATGGTCAGTGCAAAGCCCTTCATGGAGCTTGAACCCATGAACCGTGAGATCATGACGTGAGCAAAAATCAAGAGTTGGACGCGTAACCGACTGAGCCACCCCGGCGTCCTGGCAGTGTTCCTTTATATAAAGCTACCAGGAAAGCTCTGAGGAGCTGAGTCAGGGAGAGGAAGGGCGAGTGCGCCCGCAGTGTGTGAGGGAAGCAAGCGAGCGGCCTGTACAGCTGGAAAGCAGTCGTGCAAAAAGCATGGCAGGGAGGAGTTCCTTTGTTGTTTACTCATACAGTGATCTCCAAAATCACCGATAATGTTTACAATAAAACACACACACAAAATCTACAGACGCATTAAAACAAGGATGAAGGTCACAAAATGGAAAGGACATACTGTGCCAGAAACCTTGAAGTCACAAAATGGAAAGGACATACTGTGCCAGAAACCTAGGCTCTACTCAAGATAGGCACCAAGGATAGCCAAGGAAAAGAGAAGTAGTACTGCATGAAAAGAAAGGGAAAGAACTATTGAATGATTCCATTTTGAGAGAGAATGAAAAAAATAACAGGAAAGTCAGAGAAGATAGAATGATAAGGAGCAAACCAGGGGGACTCAAGGTAATCCAGTGTAGACACAGCAGAGAAACAACAGGGTGTCACGTCCTTCAGAGAAACTGAAGAGCATTAAAGACTGAAAGAAAGCCCACTGGACTTGGTAAGTAAGAAGCATTTTGTGACTGTGCAGAGAGAAGTTTCACGAGAGTAATGAAGGTGAAAGCTGGCTTCCAAAAGAGTAGGGATTTTTCACTGGTTAGAGTTTAAGAAATTCAAGGTGGCTGAGCATTAACTAGTCTTTGAAAATATTTGGGAATGAAGAGAAAGAGACACAATTATAGCTCAAGAGATAGAAGAGAAAGGTCTGGAAAGAGATAATCATGTTTTTTGTTTTTTTGAAAAAGAAAGAAGCTCATGAAAAGGGTCAGGGTGAAAACATGAGAAAGCAAAGACAACTGATGGATGAAAGCCACAGAGAATCCCAAAGGCATGGTCACAAAGACACAGTTAAGAAGTTAACCTTGGGAAGGAGAACTCTTTGCTCTGGGACAGGGAAGAGAGAAGAAAAGGTGGTAGAGAACCTGAGATTAATCAAAATAATGAGGCCCATGCTTCTTAGTGAGAAAGACTGGAAACAGTTTCAGTTTGGAACCCCCACATGTCAGCACTTTGTGTGAACACAAAATAATGTTAGTAAATGAGCTGAATAAAAGCACGAGAGGTAGTCGTTAACGTGTCCGTTCTTTTCTGCTTACCCATATTCTGAAGTAGAATATGGTACAAAAAGAAGAATAAACAGACTTTTGAACTAGTAAAAAGAGGTCAGGGGAGCGCCTGGGTGGCTCAGTCGGTTAAGCGTCTGATTTCGGCTCAGGTCATGATCTCACGGTTTGTGGGTTTGAGCCCCGTGTCGGGCTCTATGCTGACAGCTCAGAGCCTGGAGCCTGCTTCAGCTTCTGTGTCTCCCTCTCTCTCTGACTGTCCCTGCTCACACTCTGTCTCTCTATCTCAGAAATAAATAAAACATTTAAAAAAAATTAAAAAAAATAAAAGGTCAGAGATAAGGTGTAAAGACTGGTTGGTGACTTTACGGGAACTGAGATTATCTCTGTAGAGTTCTTCTTCAAAAAATGACCACACACAACAAGAATCTAACATGGCAGCCAAGCTGACCCCTTGACACACTCTCAATTAAGATACTTACCCAAATGCAGAAAGAAAGGCACAATCATCGTGCAAAATATTTGCTACTCTTTCAAAAACTCTGTAGTTTTCTGAATCCTTTTGCTCAAAATATCCAATGATATTTCTTTTGCTGCGCTGTAAAATAAAGTATGTAATTATTTTACAAACATATACAATGCTATAAACATGTTATTTCATTTATTCACCTGTTGTTCAATTATGTACAGAGTAGGACTATAAATGCATATCTGGATTTTAACACCTAGTCCAAAACTACTGAAGATGACATTAAGGTTGAAAATAATCTTAACTGTCATCTAATGTAATCATAAACATTTCCTTCTAGCATTTCATTTTAACTAATCAGTGATAATCTATTCCTAAATAAGGTGACTGTTCTTAAAAAAGCACATTGCTTCATAACATATTACAGTTGGTAGAGACTTCTTTATGGGTCTCATATTCCTACACAGTTAGGCACAGCCACAGACAAGATCCTGCCCACTCTTGATCCAGGCTATTTCTCAGGCTGGTGTCTGCAGCCAGCAACACTGGAATGTGAGGTTGTATCTCCCTCCAGGCCAAACAGCAGGCTTACTGCTGGCTCCGAAACAGTTCTCTTGCAACAGAACCCACAGCAGGTGCAGGCACCCACCGGGACCCTCCGCGTCCCCTCCACAGGACTTGGAGGGCAAAGAAACACAGGCAAACATGCTCCCATTGTTTGCTGGGATGTGAGCAATAACGTCCTTTGTTTCTGACCCGGGGGCTTTGTGTTTTCTGAAAGCATCCAGTAAAGGGTAACTAACTGTTTGGCTTACCAGCACGTAAAAGTCAAATCTCAAACCTGACACTGACAACCTAAAGCCCCAACTCATTTTTTTTTAAAACCTACTTAGTATACAATGGAAAGGGTTTTTATTGAGGGAAGGGTATTTCAAAGGACACTAAGTTATACAAAGAATTGACACAGGCGTAATTAGAGCAGATAGCCTGAGGGTCTCCACTAAGGAAAATCTGGAAACTCTGGTTGTGTATACCTGTATACCTGACTACCTGATGTTAACTTCTAGGTTTCATAACTCAGGCTACTCTTTGCCCTCAATTAATTTAAATTAGTACAGCTCTACTGGATGCTATATATTTTATCCAAAGGCTCAGTGAAACATTAGCATTTCCCTTGAGAATTCAAGAAAAACTGAACTTGCTGTAAGTACACATATGTCAAATCTATTGCAATAAACTTTAAGAAAATGTCCAGATGCTTTGATTGCAGAATTTGTTTACATCAATTAAACAGGCAATGTTTATTTGATCCAGTAAAAGCTAACAACTTACATCGAGAGCGGTGATTTCTGTTAAGTCATGAAGTTCTTGAACAGGGTCGCTTTTCTGTTGCCTGATGTAATCTGCAAGTGCTTTCACTGATCGCTGACCCCTGTATTCTCTCTTCATCATCATCCCATTACGAAATAATTTGAGGGTTGGGTATTTGCTTATCCTGTATCTCTGGGCTATATCAGCTAAAAGAATGAAAAAAAAATTAATTTCACCTTTGTATTTGGTCTGGGCAAGCCCATTAGCCCAACAGTAAAAACCTTACAATTATCCAATGAGAAAATTCTGGTTCATAATTATTTTTCAGTATTAGAAAACAAAATTAATCCTGACAAGTTTACATTAAGAGGCCAGGCTCTGGACATGTAACATTGGGTTTAAATCCCAAATTTGCTATTTACTGGTTGTGTGAACCTGTAAGTTGTATCAACTCTCTAAGCCTTAGTTTCTCATCTGTTATGTAAGGATAATTTCTACCACATAGGATTGTTTTAAGGATTAAATGAGATAATACAAATGCATGACATGGTAAACTCTTAGTGTTAGTAAACATTATTATACATATATTCCAGAAAGTAATCAGAATGCACAAAATTCTAATTTTGAAAATAGTTGCTCGATTTACTTTATACACGTGCGAATCTCTTACAGCATTTGATAAATGAAAACTAAGTTTAAACTACTCTCAAAGGCTAAAAATATTAGATCCTTTGTTAGTAGAAGAATAGTTCATAATCCCAAATCCACAAATTTTGTGTAAGCTAATACAATAAAACCCCAAAGTCAACAGTAAGCACTAAAAAAAAAAAGTCCCTTTATTATGACCTATGGGTATATTCCCAGGCAGTGGAGATTTTAAAAAGAATACACGCATGCGCACACACACACACAAATCCTTAAAATCTGTGTTTATACATCTCAAAATAGGAACCTACATCAAAATGTATGCTGATTCATTTGTAGAAATCACAACTACTAATATATAGACTACATCAGAATGGGAAAAAAAATTTGTTATTTCCAAGAGGTGGCAAATACGAGAAATCAGTATCTTCTAGGCACTAGAAAAGCTCACATACCATACATACTACTCACGTGTGAAAATGATAAAAGATGCACTGAATTTCTAAAATGAAGGGGACCTGAGAGGGCACTGGAGTGGCCTAAAACAGCTGACATTTTTTATTTTCTTACTGAGTTCTTAACAGAGTGTCTGAAGGCAGGGGCACCTGGGTGGCTCAGTCAATTAAGTGCCCTGACTCCTGATCTCACCTGAGGTTATGATCTCACAGTTTGTGGGAATGAGTGCCATGCCGGGCTCTGAGCTGACAGTGTGGAACCTGGCTGAGATTCTCTCTCCCCTACTCTCTCTGCCCCTCCCCCATTCACAGTCACGCGCGCGCGATCTCCCCCAAAATAAATAAGTAAACTTATAAAATAAATACATAAAATGAGAGAATTCTAAAAAGGTGGCACAACAAACCACAGAAATTCTCTTAGCCCGCCTCCCATTCTAGTGGCTACAAAGCAGAACCCAGAGAACTGCAGTAAGCCTCCCCCGACCCCCTTCATTTCCTAAGAGGTAGCAACAAGTGTACTAGGGCGTACCCACATACATATGTGTGCTGACCGTTTCTGGGTGTATACACAGCTCAAACTTACCAATTTGTACATTTTAAATACATAAGTTTACTGTATGTCAATGGTACCTCAAAAAACGGTTTTAAAAATCTAACTGAATACTGACTATACAAAACAATAACAGTTATGCCTTGTGGGGTTTAGCACAAACTAAAATACATGACGACACTGGCAGCATATAAGCTGGGATAGGGGAGGTGAGGAGGAGGTTAATGATTTTAAGTATTTTAAGATTTTTGCACTGCCCAGGAAGAGGGGAAAGTATTTCCAATATCTGGTTAGTCAAGGCTGTATTCTGTTTTCTCTAGAATAAACCATCAGAGAGAGTTAAAATGATGTATTAGAGGCTAAGTATGGAATATAGGTTCTCAAAGGAGGTTTAGAGAGAAGGCTTTGTTAGATCACATAACACTCTGGTGAACTCCATGGAGGATTTACAAAGGAGGAAATCATGTTTTCCTACAAAAATCCTTTGAACAGAAGACAAATATAAGCAAACCAAGGGAACTATTGGTTAAATATGAGGCCAAGGAGAGTATTTTATTCACCAGATCACAGAAATCTGAAATAATAGTAAGATATCTTAATATACACATATTTAATATAGACACTCACCTGTTTGGTTTCGAAGCTGGTATTTCTTGAAGCGGAAGACTAGTGGATATATCACTACCAGTCCTCTTTCAACCTGATAGGTTGCAATGAGGAAACACACCTTTAAGGTGTTGTGGGAATGGTGGGTTCTATCACCTGCGCAAGGAATTAACTTAAATGGGTGCTACAGATTGAGGAGGAAGAGGGCTTCCATAAGCAAGTAGAAGTCTTTTACAATAAACAGAGGCACTTGTTATAAGGGCAAAGGCCACAAAGGCTTAGGGCTACCCTACTTACAAGCAAACCAGCCCAGGGAAATAATTAAAAGGAACTTGAACTTCCTAATGAAAAAAACCACATTCAGTCTCTAGCACACTATTTGGTGAAACCTAGCATATTATAAAATGAATGCTTGAGGTGATGTAGAATGAGAAAGGCTTAATAAAAATGCTGTTAAAATTAGGTTAAGTAGTCCTACTGGCCAATGCCACATGCTCTGCTCTGGAATATGGAAAATGTCTTTTTAAAAGTTACTGTTTCCCCCAAATATCCAAGACTACTTAAATAAAGTCTGGTACACCCATACAACGAAGTACTAGGATGTTACATAAAGGAATGAAAAAGATCGCTCCATATTGCTAAGAACCAATCTCCCGGATACACTGTTAAGTGAAAAAAGCCAGGTACAGAAAAGTGTGTATACATTTGGCATTTTGCATAAGAAATATGGAGACAAAACTTGGAAAACAAATAGAAATACACACACATACATATGTATACAGACACATAAATAGTGTATGTGTTTGTGTATGGCTATAAGCAAGTAAGTATATGAGATATATGAGTATATGAGAGATAAGCAAGTACATAAAATCTTTGTGGCCCCCCCCTCCAAAAAAATAGCGCCAGTGGGAGAAAAAGAAGAAAGGGTCAGAGATGGAATTTAGCTTTTCCTGGCTATCCCTTGGTTTTATACTTTTGACTTTGGAACTGTGGAAATGTTTTTAATAATAAAATAAAATTAGTTTTAAAGAAATCGTAATACTGGCATTTTATTTTGAAATAAGCACACATATTATAGATAAAATACATGGGCAGTTATGCTAATGCCACTAAGAGTCAAGATTTTCAGCATAAGCGAAAAAAAGATACAAACAGAAAATTGAGAAAATTAAGTAAAAGCCCTGTAATGTTTAATTTGAACTGGAACTACCAGCAAAAACCCAGGATGAGAACAGGCCAAACCTACCAAATATTTACGGAAAAAATAATCCCATTTCTGCACAAAGCTTTCCTGAAAATTGAAGGGAAGGGTTTATTCCCTAACTCATTCTGTGATACCAGCATCACCCTTTTCCTAAAACCAAAGACACTAGAAGAAAATTATCAATATCTCTGATAAACAAAACTAGAGAGCTTTAACCAGCGGACTTGAGCACTTACTGTAAACCTGTAGGAATCTACACAGTGTGTCACTGGCATAAAGATGAACGGATCAGTGGAATAGAAACCAGAACTAGACCTACACATACATATAGAAATGATCTTTGACAAAGGTACAGAAGTAAAATCTAACTATATACTACTTATAAAATACACATAAACAGAAGGATGCCCAAAGCTTGAAAGAAAAAGGATGAGGAAATATATCCTGTGCAAATACTGATCTAAAGAAATCTTGTAGAGCTGTATTAATAGTAAATGAGTAGACATTAAGGCAAATACCAGTGTGACAGTCCAAGAGGGACCCTTCATGATAAAAAGTTCAATCCTGCAGGCACACACAACAATTCTGATTTGTATATATCACATAACAGCCTAAAGATATATAAAATAAAAACTTACAGAACCTCAAAGATCAATCTATAATCACGGTGGGAAATTATTAACACCTTTCTTCTAGTAACTGATATAACAAATAAGAATAAAGAGGATTTGAACAATGCAACCAAGAAAAGTAGCGACACTAGCATGTGGAGGACACACTGCCCCGAGGCTGTGGAACACACGTGGAGGCCGTGGAACACAAATGCTTAGCCGGTGTGCACGCCATGTGAAAAACCAACATGACGCATCACGAAAAAATTCTCGACAACTTTCAAATGACTCAACTTATGAGAATTAAAAAACTATACATATACGGATCAGAGATGAAACCACAAAGAGAAATTGGAAACTATTTTGAACTGAATGATAATGAAAATACATATCAAAATTTGCAGCAGATAGCCAAAGTGATAAGCAGAATGAATCTGTGACATTAAAATGGATCTTAGAGGGAAAACACTGAAAAACAAAGGGCTAAGCACTAATCTTAAAAAAATTATAAAAAGAACAAAAACAACAGAGAATAAAGAATAAAAATAAAGAATAAAAAAACAAGTGAATAAGATAAAAGCAAAAATTAATGAAGTGGAAAGCAAATATACAATAGAGAAGATCAAAAAAGCCAAAATTTGGTTCTTTGTTAAGACTAATAAAATTGATAAGCCACTAGAGAGACTTATCAAGGGCAAAAATGAGAAAACAATCTAAGGAATGTAGCAGGAATATTTAACTTGGATATTAAGAGAATATTATCAATAATATAATGACAATAAGTTTGGAAATTTGGATAAAGTTTTAATATTCCCATTATTTCTCCAAAGACATCCAGATGGCCAACAGACACATGAAAAGATGCTCAACATCACTCATCATCAGGGAAATACAAATCCACAAAACCACAATGAGATATCACCCACACCTGTCAAGAATGGCTAAAATCAACAACACCAGAAACTACAGGTGCTGGCAAGGATGTGGACGAAGGGGAACTCTCTTGCACTGTTGGCAGGAATGCAAACTGGTGCATTCACTGTGGAAGACAATATGAATTCCTCAAAAATTTAAAAACAGAACTACTCTATGATCCAGTAATCACACTACTGGGTATTTACCCAGAGAATAC